ACACACACACACACACATATATATATATATATACTACATATATATATATACATATATACATATATATATATATATATATATATATGTGTATATATATACATATATATATATATATCAACACACGCACAACATCCCAGCCATTCTTAGAGCAATACATAATCCACCACCTCCTGCTGCTGTCAACGACGAAAGGTACCAACTCATTATTACACTCACCTCGCCTTTGATTGACACAGAAAACTCAATACACACCTGACAACTGTCAGACAGCACTCATTGGTAAAAACCAGGGTTTGTTCCAAACCCTAAAACCTAAACTTTACACAGACGTGTGCAGGCTTGTACAGTACACAGGAAAGACATATCGCGCTGTGCGAACAGCACTGTGTTTGGTATGATCTAACATGCGCAGATGGTACTACGCACAGTGACAAATGTGCCAAAGAACCAGAAGAGATGGCGTGGGAGATAGCTGTAAGGGGGTACACCAAGGCCACCACACCAGCAGACACCTCACTAACCACACGCCGACTATACAACATACGACGAAAATAGAACCACACGACAAATGATGAATCAACATACACCTCACCAACCACACGCCGACTATACAACATACGACAAAAATAGAACCGTACGAAAAGATCATGGAATCGACATATTAACACATCACCAACCACATGCCGACTATAGAACATATGACAAAAATAGAACCGTACGACAAAACCATGGAATCAAATACACCTCACCAACCACACGCCGACTATACAATATACGACAAAAATAGAACCATACGACAATATCATGGAACCAGCATACACCTCACCAACCACAGGCCGATTATATACCTTAGGGATAGTGACGATCTATCGGAGCCCTCGTCATGGATATGCCTCATGTCCTGTTCGCTGTTGCGCGTGTCGTATGCGTTGTTGTGTGGCGAGTCATAGGCAGAGGGGTCACCCATTTGCGGCAGAGTTGTGGTGCTAGCGCTGGGACGGTCGAGGACAGACGTGAGGTGAGATACAGGCAAAGGCAAAGCACTGGTAGGAGTAGATATAGAGTGTCTGGTATCAGACACAGTGTGCCGTACGATTGCGCTGGAGGTCTCAATATAAGTTATACCTACGGCAGTGGTTCTATCTAGAGCCCTCCAAGCGATATAAGCGTTTCAGCCTTGTCGCGTATATTCATAGGGAATGTGAGCTGTGATACGAGTGTGTGGGGGTGGGAACAACATGTGTGAGTAGTGATATGTGTGCAGTACCTAAGCCCGCTCTATACCATGCGACACATCCAAGGTCACCAATCACTCACAGACGCAGTCCTCCCCGGCACTCCACGCAGGTTCTAAAGCCCTAAAACCCTGAGCATCTCACGCAGGTTAAACCCTACAGCCCTAAACCCTGAGCATCTCACGCAGGTTAAACTTTAAAGCCCTAAAACCCTGAGCATCTCACGAAGGTTAAAACCTAAAGCCCTAAAACCCTGAGTATCTCACGCAGATTAAAACCTAAAGCCCTAAAACCCTGAGCATCTCACGCAGGTGGCGGCCACCCACTTTCATTCGTCCACACACCACTGTCGGCATAATCAAACAGTCTCAGGTGGAATCCTACTTATGTCAGAAATGGTAGGTAGATATTCCCTTGACTATAGAGTCACACTCAACCCTAGAAAACAATTCTATTGGTCCTACCAGGCGTAGAAAATCAAAGCCAAGTGTGGGCGTGTGCAATGCCTTGCTGTTGCCGTCTCACGCGGGTCCGATCGCTAAACCATACCCACATAGGTGCATGTGCGACCATTCCTTAACTGTCCTGGTTTCTCGCAGGGTGGACCGGTGCACCCCACCACTACCCACCTTATGAACCTAAACACCACACGCGTAGCCGCACCCACTTACCTAACGGGTGTGCCGTTGTACGTGTGTGAGAGATGGCGCATTCTGGCTGCCAAACTATAGTGTTGTAGAGGCGACATCCCGCCGTTAAGGTGACTCGGCCGTCTCGAGCCTACAGCCAAGTATTGGGATCCGGATCGCGACCGTCGCGCTTTCTGTGGCAACGTATAGGAGGGGATAAAGAACAGGTCGCAGGTAGGTAACGTTCACACCTTCGGTGCTGCATGGTACAGATGTGTATATTGAACGGCACAATTGAATACGAAAGCCTGAGATGTAGACGCGCGGGTGGTGGTAACATATACAGCGGTGTGTAGACTATTTCGCTAGGAGGTACAACAACATATCGCTGTCAATTAAGATTGTATCCATTTATGAATCCGATATCGATATATATATATATATATATGTATATATATATATATATATATATATATAT